TGGAGAGATGGCTTACAGGGTAAAGGCAATTGCCACCAAGTCTGATAACCCGAGTTTGTTCCCCAGGAATATCAAGGTAGAAAGTGAGAGCCAATTCTGTCAAGCTATTCTCCAACCACCATATGCACACCACGGCATAGACCCTTTCCCAGAACAAACAGACATAATTTTAAAGCTTTAAAGGGATGGGGAAAGAGATAGCAGAAGCCTGGAGCAGTTGTGGCCAATAACGCTCATCTCTGACGCAGCAGGATAATGTGGGGAGCATGGAACCACCCGTGGGGTCAAGCATTAGACTTGGACCTAGTTTCCCAAGTTGCTGCTTCATTCTATGGAAAACTACAGATAGGAGAGAGCCATAGACTGTTCCCTGTACATCAGATGGGAATGGTTGAACCCTGCTTCTCTAAACGATACCATGAAATCAAAAACCAACTTCCTTCTCCCCTTCCAAAAATGTTCCCTTTATCTCCTGAATAATACTTACTTTAGGGCTATCTCCCAGAATTTTTCCAGAAGACAAAGGAATCTTGGGATTTTGTGGATGACAAGGGATGTTTACAAAGGAATTTATATTCACTGAAAGAAAGCAACCCGCTCTGGTATTTACCCATGACTTCGGAAAGTCATTCACCCACACACCCTACTGTGCCAAACGAAGCTGCACAAACACACGCATCATAGACGTACGTGTTTACTTGTGCTCCTTTGAACACACACGTAGTTTTCTTTCTCGTCTCTCAAGGCTGTTTACTGTGGTTGACTTCAGAGTTCAAGTTCTGACCAAAGATATTTAGAATTAGGCCTGACTATAAGTGCATCTCGCATTCTTATTTCTAACCAGCAGCCTCTATTTTTAAACTCTCCTGACCAACGCTTTCTAAAGCTATAACCATGATGGCTAACGAAGCTGGGACTTCCTCCTTCCTCACAGAACAGTTCCTAGTTCTTGGGACTCTTCCAGTAGACTTCAGGAGCTATTTCTGAGTGCCCGGTGTGATGGGAACTTTTTCAGAGGTGCTGTGTATCAGACATGGATTCACAGATCTCTTGTACCATATCTCTCATCAGTTCCCCGTTGACAGCATCCCATGCTGTTTTCTAGAATGTAAACCCACACTGACATTTCTTGATTATATGTCTTGGTTGCTGCATGAGACCCAGAGGCATTGAGAAACCTCATTATACATGGGTTCTCAAACATGTGGGCAGCGGGGAAGAATTCTGATTTCAAGCAGGCCCTTGGAAGAAGGGAAACTGATGTCATTTTTATGTGTTCAGTGGCTCCTGAAGAATCTCTAACTAGCATCAGGTGTCCTTTCTTACTTGGGTCACAGGAACCAATAGCTGGCCTTTCGGCCCTGAGGTAACATTTAAAGGAAGAAGTTCTATAGTGGATACTCTAAAACTCATAAAAATGGACTGTACTTCATCCCAAAGTGTTGACCTTTCTTCCCATTGCTTCCAAAAACCCTCGTTTTAATTTCAGGCTATCAACCTCAGGTGCCCGTGAAGGGCGCTTGATCGACAGTCTAAGAAACTGAAGTGTCCCGGAAGCTGTGCAAGCCCGGAAATAGCCCACGTTTCTATTTGTTTTGGCAATTTTAAACTACTAGGATCTAGAATCCATGCGACAGTTAAATTTTCCCCAGGCACTATGGAATGAAATCACATATTACATTTGATTTTAACTGGTTGAGAAAAAAGATGGTGTTTTTCTGAAAAGTTCGTTGTATGACCCTGAAATAGATATTAACATTTATGTGGAAGAACTGGACTAACCATTTAAGTCCTAGTTATCCACAAAATAAGATATTTTCCCAGGTGGAAGGAATCTTAGACAACTGAGTTCTCTTCGGCCACATGTTGGAGAAGACATACATTAACGGAACTGTGGTCGAACTTGGGCTTGACATTATTGGCAATATGAGATACTTCTACTCCATTTTGAGCACACACACACAAACACACACACACTTATACGTATACACATACACAAACACAGGTATATAGGTATAAATTTTCAATAAACCCTCACAACAGCTGTGTGGGAGAGCATCAGTTGTTACCGTGGTGGGAGATGAGGAAACTGAGACATAGGTGAGACATAGGTGTCTCATGGGACAATTTGCCCATGAGAAGGCAGCTGGTAAAAGAGCTCTGACTTTCACTGAGGCCTTCTGATGGTGCTCAGTGTTCCTAGTGATGATCCTCTCCTGCTTCTCCAACTTGTAAGCTCTATGCCTGGTCTAGATATCTACAATTTTTCTCAGAATTGTGTGTTTTGACTAGTTATAAGCTCAGTTATCAATTTTTGAAGCTTTGAAGCTGAAATGTGGGGGTTGTTAATAAGAATTAGCACATTGCTTGCTCCAAGAAAACCCTGAGTGGATAGTGACATTCCCTGTGAAGCATTTAGCTAACCACAACTGTCACACTGAGTCCCTGAGCAATTTCAATGTAAGCCGAAGAAGGGCGTCTCAAACCTGCGAGATGTCAGCAAACCTCTTCTCCCTTCCCTGGTTTGTGCTGTGATTGCCTCGCTATCCTTCGTAGGAAAGGAGGACTCATTTAGGCTCAAGAGTTTTACTTCCTTTTTGTGGTCTGTCGTTCTATTAGAGTGAGTCTGCCTATATCGCTCACTTATCTATCCAAGCATTTATCTGTCTGTCCATCCATCCATGCATCCATCCACCCATCTGTCCACTATCTGTTCATCCATGCAGTCTTCCATCCGTCTGGTATACCTCGAAGTCCTTGGGTATTACTACTAAAATGAAATGAAAGGACAATGCTTGGTTATGTTTTCCTGATTCCTATTACACGACAATGACATTTTGGCGTGTTAAGGATTGCTTTTAAATGGATAAAATGCATTTCAGAAAGAAATGCATCCTGGACTGAGGTCTAGAACTGTGAGAACTTATTTTTAGCCAGAAAGCCCTGTTGATTTCAGTTTTCCTCGAATGAAGTTTATAATTAGATACAGCCACCCAAACCTTTCCGCAGGGCACAAATTCTGAATGCCTTTGCTGAGCTGTGGTCTGCAGAAGAGCTGTCTGTGTCTGAAGGCCCTTCTAAGATGATGTGGCTTTAGTGTCAGCATCTGCCTGAGGCTGGCCCCAAAGGATGCTGTTTTAGCAGAATGCGGCATCTCCTGATAATCTAGGATCAGTTTGCAAAGATACCAGAAGTAGGTTAGCTTTCTTTGGGGGTTCTAACACGTACTTCGAACTGAACCTTTTGATCCTACTTTGAGCTCTGAATATCTCTATAATATTGAAGAAATCCAAGATTTTCAGTGAGCCATGGAGAAAAGGGGATCCGGGAGTAGAAAAAATATCAGGAGCATGAAGGACTAAGCAGGACTTCTTGAAGTAGGTTACCTAGATGAAGTAGGTTACCTACTGTGGCTTTGGTCATTTTACCACCTCAAAGGTCACCAGGAGCTTGGCTGAGGACTGCTGCCTTCTACACTCTCTTAGAGAGGGGACTCACTATTTGGATAATATTGAGATTTTTGCTTTCTTCTGGCAGAAAAATATCAGATTCAGGGGACACTTCCCATGGCCAGTTCTACTCCCCCTTTTCTTTGGTACTTGATTCGCTTTGACAAAGTTTTGCTGTCTGCCCAGAAGAAGCTTAGACACCAAGTACATTTTCACCTAGGTACAGATCTCCTGGTCTTTAAAACAAAGAAAGAGAAGCAGATGACTTCCAAGGCCTTTGCCAGTGCAAAAATAGCATGGTCCTAGGGGGTTTCCTAATGAAGAAGACGCTCACAGGAGTAAGTTCTCAAGATCTAGTGCTCTCTCTCTCTCTCTCTCTCTCTCTCTCTCTCTCTCTCTCTCTCTGTGCAGGAAGAGTGAAGTAGTGAGGGGAGAAGGGGAAGAACAGATAGATGGATAGTTGAAAATAGTATTTTTTTCCCCTTAGGAGAAACAATCAAATGATATAGGTCGATATCAGATATGTTCATTGTGGGATAATTGCTATCCTATACCCCTAAATTCATGTGTAATGCTCTCAATTCCTATTGTCTGTAAAACAGAGTACACGTAGATACATAGTTTGATTGAGGTCATCAAGTTCAAATGAGTTCATTAGGGTGAGCCCCAATGTAGTCTCACTGATGCCCTAATGAAAACAAAGTATTTGGGCACCAAGGGAAGATTGTGAGGACATAGGAGTGGTGCCTCTAAGGGACTGATATCTTGAATGTGGATTTCCATTCTTGAGAACCACAAGGAAAAAAGTGTATCTGTGGGTTAAGCCACTTACTCTGTAGTCTGTGGTACTTGATTATGTCAGCAATAGCAAGCCAATACATCTTTTATATCTGATACCAAAGTACAAAATAAAAGTTCAGAGACCTTTGAAAGGTTACCGCGCAGGCGTTTATGTAAATACGGGATGCTCTTTGGCCTAAACCCTGGACTTGACTGAGGAGCAGTCACCAATGAAATCCAGGGCAGAAATCTGGGAATGATTATGGCACAAACAGGTCTCTGTGAATCTGCGTTAATATTTAACTCTGAACATATATTTACATGGGCAATTCTTCTCTAATAGATTTGTACAAAATTTAGCATGCGCGCAGAAGACGCAAACTTTATTTGCATATTTTTTATTCTGATTTGGTTTTTTGAAGAAGGGGTGCATCTCGTTGGCATGGTTTTAATTTTTTTTGTTGTTGTTCTTGGTATTCTGCCCTTGTCACTTTGTACTTTGTGAAATGTTAGATTTTCCTTTTCAATTCTTTCCCTAGTAGCTTATTTTTCCTTCCATCCTAGGCATTACCCAGCTGAGATTGAGCTACACTTCTTCATGGCCTCTACAGCTTTTCTGAGTTGTGCTCTGCTCCTCTCTCATCCTAGCCTCTGCCACTTCCCCTTTGACCTCTGTTCACAGTTTCTAGCTCCACTCTCCCTCCTCCTCTCCTCTGATTGGCTGAGTCGCTTCTGGCCCCTCCTTCCCTCCAGGGTGTGTCTTTGGCTCACCTCTCCTTCTCCTTTGTGGCTTCATTTTCTTGTTCGTGGATAGGGGCTGGGACTGCAAACATCACAAAAATAATTGCATTGAGAATAGATGGTTCCTGTGCCAAAGACAATCTTTGAGTCTAGCAAGAAGGCCTGGACTCCACAGGAAAGAGGAGCCAGGCTTGCAGCGGGGTCTACAACTCAGGCACCCGAGCTGGCATTACAGAGCCTTGGGCCTTGTCTCTTGTACCCACGTCCTCTTCAACTAGAACGAATGAACACTCCTTTGCTCTCCATTCGCACACACACGCTTTCTGACTCCCGTGCCTACTGTGTTCTGTGTCCGCCCACCAAGTCCTGGACAGTCCCCTTGCATCCCTCAGGTCACTCACTGGGGTGATGTCTCCCCTAAGACACCACGGTCCTCCTCCAGCCTCAGCTGTGGTTGAGGACCAGGAAACAGCACAGGTCTCATTGTGAACATCTGGGTTTCTTATCATCACGATTTCTGCACAATGCTGCCTTTGTTTCAAGGATAGAATCGACATGTCCCCTTTTTGTTTTTTTTTTTTCAGCAGGACTCTTCCGAACACCCAAGAGAGGGCTGTTTTTTTCCCCCTTTTCCTTCTCTTCTCTTCTTATTTCTGTGTAAGGACTATAAATTTACTTAAATGCCTTCCTTCCTTCCTTCTTTCCTTCCTTCCTTCCTTCCTTCCTTCCTTCCTTCCTTCCTTCCTTCCTTCCTTTCTTCCTTCCTTAACAAGTATATAAAGTGGCCAACATGCATTGATGTTTTATATGCTTCTGATTACACAGTTGGTGCTTCTGAAGTTGCTTTACAATAAATGCTTGGACAAAGGACGCCTTGCTTTTTGATCACTAGAAACATCTAAGCATCCCTACAGTCAGAGTCTCCATTTTCAGTGTCCTTCTCTTTCGTCTACAATTACCACTGTGAATTTCAACTAGGTCCCTAGTAGGTAGTCTTTCTGTGTTTGGACCACTGTAGAATTCCAGGACTTACAAAATTTTGTTATTAGACACATTTATGGCAAATGTTAGTCTTGTCTGACAGTTACTTGGTGCAGGCACTCCACTTGTACATGGAATATGTCTTAGAGAATACTAACTTACTGAATTCTGACAACTTGTGCAGTATATGTAATCATTACCACACTGATAACTCAGACTTGGGATGCTATTTGGCAAAGAGGCCTTACTGGGCAACTTGAGTTTTGACAGGTTTAGTCCTTGTTTTCCACCATCTTCCAAGTGTCAGATTGTCCAGGGAAGTGAAAAAGATAAATTTCAGTAGCAAGTGATTTGAAGGATGGATGTGTAAGCCATCCAATCGGTGGCATTGGAGTCCTTTGACCTGTCATCTAGGAAACATAGGACAGAATTTCCATTTGCGTCCCCTCCGCCCATGTCTGAAAGAGCACTCAAGAATGACTGCATCCCAACCATACACACGTACCTTCTGAGTCTTGGGCATGTCAGTGTGGCGCTGGGCACGGATAGAGCGGGCTGATTTCGTAGGCTTGAGGGGAGCACAGTACATCTCCAGCCTTCTCAGGTCACAGCTCCGGAAGCAGCACTCATCCACGATGCCTGTCTGAGGCGCCCTCCGAATGCTGGAGCCATAGCCTGTGGGCTTGTCTGCACAAATCAGAGCAGTCCTGGAGTTAGACAGAGCTGCCCACATCCACAGACTCCCATCGAATCCCTGGACGCCTCTCTTTAACTACTAATCCAACATGTCACCCTTCTCCTGCACTATCGTCAGCAATGTCTGATCTATTATGTTCCTTTAGATTCTAGTATGTTTCCTGGAGTTAAGCCACACTCGTGCAAGAATTCATTCACCATACACTTTTGTTTGTATTGACTCTGACCACGTTTTCTACAAGCTGTATTGGAGGACCTTGTTTCTGTCCAGTCCTATCACTTCTCTGTCTATTGTCTTTGCTGAGAGACCTTTAGAAGTGCTACTTAAAACAAAACTACAGATCAAGCTTCTTACAATTTTGTAAATGTACCGTTTTATTCTTAAATTGATAAGCTAATTGTATATATTGTGAGGGTACAACATGATACTTTGGAATACATATATACTATCCAGTGATATAATGAAGGTGTTTAGATTGTCCGTTATCTCAAACATCTGAGCTAGAACACCAGGATCCTGGAAAAACTGCATCTCCTTAATGACATTAGTAAACACATACAGTTTTTGTACACTGGGCATCTCAATTGTTCTTTACTATTTCTATCATAAAATTAAATTGCATATAGGCAAAATTTGACATCTAGAGATATATCCTTATTTTATTGATGAGAACCCTGAGACTCAAGAGTTTGAATGGCTTGCCAAAGGTCCTTCATGCAGTAATTGGTGGAGTCAGGATTTTAACTCCAATCTACTTGCTGTTACGTCCAAGAGCTTTAGGGAGCACAGAAGATATTGGTATGTAACTCCAGAAACGTCCCTGAAGCTCTTTATTACATCTTTCTTGCCAGAATTGAGGATAAGATGAAACAGTGTGTTAAATAAAACAATGCGCAGCACCTGGTACAGAAGAGGTCTTAACTACGTATTAGTCTGCGAGCTCTGGCTATCTTTTCCAAGGTCTTAAATGATCTATGGAAAACTGTCTCTACCATTGACCATACCCAGAAGCCAAGAAACTCAGAACTGACTACAGTACCAGTGAGAAGAGGCTTGCACACCACCCCAGAAAGCATGGAGCAACCATTTGTTTCCTTGGAATATAACGATTGGGCCGGGACAGAAGGAACTAAATGCCAGCGGGAACACTGATATCCAACATCTTTTGATACAAACCGTTAGAGCTCTTTACTTGGCTGGGTTCTGGTTTGATTGGATCATGTTTTTGACCACACTTTTACTGGCTTTCAGAATTCAGAAAAGGTCAAGCAAGCTTACATAGACCTTGACATACACCAGAATTACCCCTTTTTGGCACCATAGAACTTTGGTTAAATCAAGTGTTGTCTCTGCAGTAGTGTATCAAACATACAAAACATGAAGCTGGGCTGTCTTAGACAGGGGAATATAATTTTGATCTGCTCCCTTCTTCACTGGGAGGTAGGCTACTTCATGAAAGAAACGTGTGAACCACTGACCTCCAAGAATCCAATGGACAACCTGATATATGCTTAATCTTAATTCCTGACCCAAGGAAGGCATACCATTAAATACAGTCTTAAAGTCACATAAATCATGACACAATAATAGGATTCTGAAAGTCACAGTTTTCATCCATATTTTCGGCTTCCTTATTGAGGGGAGAGCAGATCCAGGGCCATAGCCTGCCGTCACTATCACTCTTGTTTGGCTGCCTCCCTGCTCCGAAGGTCAGCTGTTTTATGGAGTTCTCTAAGAACCCAAATGTTTTCCTGATGCTTGGCACAGCAACTTTGTAAGGCTTATTCTCAGGGCGGCTGAGAGGTAGGAACTTTGTGAGGGTTCCTTTGCGGTCTCTCTGGGAAGGAAGGGTCTGCTGCTGCTCTCTCTCACGGTAGACCCTGTGGGCTTTTTGTGGTTGTAGGCTTGGGGAGGGACCAGGCAGTTGAGCCCACTGGAGTCTCAGCAGGGCTTTTACTTGCCCTTTGAGGGAAGACTATCATGGATATGGACTCTGGGCTTTTGCCTCCCAGCCAGGCCCTGGCAAGTTGAAACCCAACTGGTCCCCTGGGCAATGCAATGTTTTTTGTTTTCTTCGTTTTTTAAAAAAATCTTTTCCTGGGACTATAAATTCGAGGAAAGCCACAAATGGATGTGCATGGCTCTTGTAACTCACGGACTTCTACGTAATTTTCTCTCTGGCTAGCCAATTAAGATCAGGGGATACATTTGGGTTCTCTTTGCAGGTAGGAAAAAGGAGAGAAGGAGCCTGTTTCTTGGTTGTGGCTATCACAATAGTAACCTTCAGGTAATGACTGTCCTTTGTCTATATATACATTTCTAAAAATGTATGCACAAAGAATCACTTGCTGATTATGGAATAGTCAGTTGATATTTGAGAGTAGAGTTGTAGAAATTTTTCTAGAAACTTCCAAACTTGACCAGTTCAGATACAGCTGTTTTCACAGCTCAAGATTATGAATTAAAAGTGGAGAGGGATGGATTGGGGATTCTAGGACCCATTTAAATTTTCTATTCCAAACACTTCTCAATCTTAATTCTGTGATCCAAGCTTGCACCAAGAAAAAGATGCTAGCCATTATCTTGGGATAGCAAAAAGCATTTCCATGCATTGCTTGACCTTACTTGGTGATTCTCAAGAGCCATGAGACGACCACAGGTCTATTTAATCTTCCAAAATAGACAATAACCATCACCACAGCAAAGAACAGCACATTCTTTTTTTTTCTTTTTTCTTTTCTTTTTTTCTTTTGGTTTTTCGAGACAGGGTTTCTCTGTGGTTTTGGAGCCTTGTTGAAATAGGAGCGGTGACACTCCCACATCAGAGCCTGTCCTGGAACTAGCTCTTGTAGACCAGGCTGGTCTCGAACTCACAGAGATCTGCCTGCCTCTGCCTCCCAAGTGCTGGGATTGAAGGCGTGCGCCACCACCGCCCGGCTAGAACAGCACATTCTTATAGTACCCAGCTTGCTGTATGTCTCAGAAGAGCTTAGAGTTTGTTCTAAAGGGACCTGTGCTCTCCAACCCACAGGCTGAAGGATTTTGAAGCAGAGAGCTTTAGGATTTTTATATTATGTTCCATTAAAAAGCTTGATTTTATCTTGTATATGCATCTTTTTGGAATGCTATTGGAGTAGGGTATGCATGTGAATTTCCCATGAACCAGTTTGCTCAGGCTATCAATTCTAGTGGAACGTTTTCTTTGTCAATTCATAGTGATTACAATGGAATCATACTTTGTTCAGGATTTATGAATGTAATGAATGTTTACCTACTGATTTTGTAATTAATCTTTTGAAGTATCCTATAGGCTTGATTTCAACAATCATTACCTCTCAGTAATCAAGGGACCACAGTTGTCTTCAAGAAAAGGTTTCACATATTTTTAAACTTAGAAGATGGACATTTATTTTCTAATTATCGTTTGTGTTCTCCAGAATGCTCAAAAACTTTCCTGTTTTTATCCAATGCAACAGCAAAAGACAGGTGACCAGGACAGTCCTTTGCACAATGAGACATGATTGGAGAATTCTCTTACTGCCTACACACTTAACCGTTGGACTATGTAACATTCTGCAGATGTTTTGATGACAGTCTTAACATTGAAAATTTATATAATAAGAAAATTTATAGTAATAAACTTATTTTGCCAGTGTCATGGTTCAGAGGTCGTCTAGCACATAGATCAAAGGCAGCTTAGCAGACAAGCTGGCCATCACATAACCCAGACTTGTCCAGTAGTAGACATAGGGTTTAGGCATAACACACAGCTGTCTTTTAAACATGGGCCAACACACAGACTCCCAGTAGCTGAAGAGCTGACTTCTATAATAGCCGTACTTCCCTATAAATAATGCATGGTCACTGGAGTAATTCAATAATCTTCAGGGCAAACTTGTTGGTTACAAGGGTTTGGGGCAGAACTGTGGTATCATCAAAAGCACGCTAATTAGCTGAGTATCACATTTGGACAGGGATGCAAGTAAGTCACTCCCCTCCATCTCTGATGAGACGGATGCACTTCGGAGATTTAGCTGTGGTCATTATTTCTGGAGCCGAGAGTTCTGCCCATTCGTCATGAGTAAAGCTACCTCTACCAATCTGCAGGAATTTGTTTCTCGTCAGTTTCTGGAAATGTGCTTGAGACATCACACTAACTCTGACTCTCTGTGGAATTTCCCCTTTTCTTGCTGAGGAAGCTTTTAAAACTCTCCATTGGGAGGAGTGGAGCATTGATTTGTGAATCAATATTTAAATAATGACAAATGCAAACACGTTCAAAATAAGAACATACCTGCTTTTGAAGATCTATACTTGTTCTTTTCTAGGTTACAAAGAATTCATTAATTCTCTAAAACCATTGCTAATAGGAGGAAGAGGTACCAAAGTAGATTCTATGTCCTATTAATTAATTAGTTAATTAATTAATTTTAAAAAATTGAAATCAGGGCAAAAGAGAATTCAAAATGGGGCTTGGAGGCTGTTTCTAGAAAATTATCAGTCACATGCATGGTAGAGAACATAAATGGAATTACTAGATAATAAACAATCTGCCCTTAACTTTCATTAGCTGAAGATTGATTGATTATACAACCAAATACCATAATTAAGATCTAAATCAGAACATTGGTTTTCTTATACAAATTATTATTATTTTTTTGCCAGCCTCTATATTTGCTGACCATTCAGAATATCTCAGCATGATTGGATTCTTAAGTCAGTGTTGGTCCGTGAGCAACCTTATCTAAGGAAAATTAATTCAGTTGACTTCAGCTTGCATTGCATATTAGTAGGGAAGTTCCGAATATTGTATAAGTAGTAGTCTTGCAGCTTCCCGATAAAATTTCTTTTGTTGTCCTGAGGATAGACCACAAGGCCCTATGCATGCTGGGACACATTGCACTACTGATGTAAGCCCCTAGCCTCATGTTTTAGCATTTCGGTGTTCTTCCTTCCTCGTCCCCTTCCTCCCTCTCTCCCTTTCTTTCTT